CAGCTACTCAGGTGGCTGAGGCAGGAGAATCGCTTGAACCCAGGAGGCAGAGGTTGCAGGGAGTCAAGGTGGCACCACTGCACTCCAGCCTGGGCGACAGACAGAGACGCTGTGTGTGTATATACATATAAATGATGGTGGATTCCACATTAAGAATTCAGCAATAGCATTACTAAATAATTTACAGGCAAAACATCCCATGTGCTAAGGGTATCACTGATACAAATTTTATAAAATTAAGACCTTTATAGTAGAATATTTATAACTCTTTGGGATGCATTAGGAAGTACCCATGAACAACACTTCAATTCACTTAAATTTCTCTGATCATCTCAAGGTAAAATACTTTTAAAAGAGCTGTAAACTGGCCGGGCGTGGTCGCTCATGCCTATAATCCCAGTACTTTGGAAGGCTGAGGTGGGCAGATCACAAGGTCAGGGGTTCAAGACCAGCCTGGCCAACACAGTGAAACACGTCTTTACTAAAAGTACAAAAATTAGCCAGGCATGGTGGCGGGGGCCTGTAGTCCCAGCTAGTTGGGAGGCTGAGGCAGGAGAATCGCTTGAACCCGAGAGGCAGAGGTTGCAGTGAGCCTAGATTGCACCATTGCTCTCCAGCCTGGGCGACACAGCAATACTCTTGTGTAAAAACAATAAATAAAAAAGAGCTGTACACTTACAGATGAGTTTTACATGTATTTTTTGCACAAAGGGCAAGTATTCCAAATTTTCTGACCTTTCTGAGGTTGTAAATGGCTGCTGGTAAACTCCAAAGAAATAAATACATCTCATTTGAATTTTCAGAGTGAAAGTTATATTTCATCACTGAGACAGAAAGGAACTACTTTCAGAGACTTGTATGGCACGTGCACATAAAAATGGTTATTTGGAAATATTTTCATCATTATATGACTACGTTGCCAAAAACTATTAATAGTGTGACACCTACACTTTCACATCTACACAACCAAAACACTTGTAAGCAGAATTTTCCCAACTAGATTTAAAATCTGAAAGAATGTCAATAAGCTTCGAACCTATTTGTTTTTTATGTGCTGCTGTTGTTGTTAGAGACAGGGTCTTGCTCTGTCACCCAGGCTGGAGATCAGTGCTGCAATCTTAGCTCACTGTAACCTCAAACTCCTGCCCCTACTTGATAACAAAGTAAAACGTGCAGCACCTCTGGTTAACATGTAAAAATGCCAGATTCACAGCAAGAAAATGGGTATTTACTAGCTGGATTTAAATTAAAAATTTATCTTTGCAAAATTGGTAAACAGGACTGAAAATTTTAGTAGGTACAGTTTTCCTTCCATCTGAATCTGCTTCTCTAGAAGGTATCATTTTCAGCTCTAATAGCCCTTAAAACCAAATACTGAAATTAGAATGAGAATTCTGAATTATTCAAAAGGTGTTAAAATAAGATTTTCAAAAACAGTAAATGTCAAAAAAATTCATCTAAAAATACTGCTTTTTAAAAAGTATATTATAAATTATATAATATATTCTACTTCAACATTATCTCATGCTGCTCTGGTAATCATATATTGCTGTTTTTAAAAATGAGTATTTATACTTATTTATATATGTATAAAATATGTACATATATTTATACATATGTAAATGTATACTTACACAGGTATATTTATATAGAAATTTATATATTTATATGTATATTTATATATACATTTTTATATTAAATATAAATTTATTTTACTTATATTTTATGTATATTTATATATAAATTTACATATAATATAAATTTATTTTTTATTTTTAATATAAAAATGTATATATAAATATACATATAAATATATAAATTTCTATATGAATATACATGTATAAATAAGTATATTATATATTTCATATATAAATTTATATATATTTACATTGGTATAAATAAGTATATTGGAAATTATATATCATATATTCTATTTATATATAGAATACTTATATATAGAATATTTATATACATATAAATATATATAAGTATACATTATATATGTATAAAATATATAAATAAGTATATTATAAATTATATAACATCTATTTCAACATTATCATATCTTTCTTGTGTATATATTTTATAATGTATGTTATTACTCAGAAAAATGTATGATTACTTTAAGCATATAAATAAACATATTTGGGGTGGGTGCTTATCGGGATTGGAAACTACCATTGAAGGGCAAGAGGTCTATGACCTCCCAGGAACAGGGAAGAAGACAATAAGAAAAGCAAAAAAGAGAGCGCTAAGAAGGAAAAGTAGCACAGACAATACGACACACACATATGGACAGCCCAACGCAACGCAATGCAGTAACAGGAACCTTGTTCTGGAATAATCCAAGCCTGAGACAATGCTGAGGGGACAGAATCTTAGCAGCAAACAGCAGCCAACATAAAAACGAGCAAGGGCACAGCACAGGCGGGCAATATTCAAATTGGTTCATTCCTTCATCAAGAATGTATTGGCTCTTTGTGTTGTCTGTGGTAGATACTAGAATAAACCATGAAATTGGCAGAGAGTTTGCCTTTGAGGAGATCGTAGGATAATGAAGAAATTAAGCATGTAAACATATGATTAAAGAGCAGTGTGATCAACTGAATTTCAATAATCTCTGCAGAAAAAAAAAAAAAAAAAAAAAAAAAACTAAAAAAAAAAAAAAAAAAAAAAAAAAAAAAACCTGGGACCAGGAACTGAGCTTCTGCAGCAAGACACTCACACCTAGACACATTTACCACTCTCCTAGTCAGTAAGGCTTCGTGATTAAATGTGTAATGCTCTTGACTAGAACTTTTATAGATTTTACTTTCTAATTAAATTAAGCACAGTTCCATAGTACATACAGCAAACACTGACCCATGTTGAGGCCCTGACACATTTCCAATTTCCCAATACTTGAAATTGTTTTTGTACAGATCTAGTTGCTATTTCTTTTCTACCCAGATTGTCTCGTCATCTGAGACACTCATCATTCTCGCTTCATGTCGGCCTGTGCTGAAGTTCTTTCCTCCTGAGTCCAAGGCCTTGTCCTCAGCCTCTGTTTATGCCCTAATCAGAGTTACAGTGTTGTCATCACCCGCATCATAGGGGCATCTTCTCCCTTCCAGTACCCTCTGCACAAAAGCTACTGTGCATTACTGACCACTAGGGAGTGCTTGCCTTTTCAGGCCAAAGACTCTGTGGCCCTCTGACTTTCCTGAATCTCAGCACCCTGCATTTTCTGACCAGTTAATTCTGCATTCTTTCTGCACTTGAGGAGCTGGTAGGGTGTTTTTTAAATGCTCTCGTTTGATAAAAGGATAACGCAGACTGACTTCAACAGTTCTAAACTTTCGAGACCTGTAGCAGATCAGGAATTTTACTGCTCAACCATTTCAGACCAACGGTCACGTCAGCTACATCAACATTCACCTTAGCCTTACTGTCGAAACAATACTTAACACTATTTTTAACCAGTAGAGTAATGTGATTTCATAGCTTTTAGGAATTAGGTTTCCTTCCCATTTCTCACTGTACATATTTTACTGTACAAATTCACATTTAGCCTAACTGATATTTTTCAAATGTTTTTACTTTTGCACATAAAATATCAAATCTATGCTATTATCCAAAGAATAACGGATGAGTGTTTTGAATGAGACACTTCCAATGTAGTCAATTAATTCATTAAAAAATTATCACACACACGTACTATATGTCTAGCTGTCTACTAAGTATAAGAAGTACAAAGATCACTTCTTTTCTTTGGAGCTCACAGTATGGTAAAGGGGACAGATATGACAACAAATTAATTTGATACATAAGACAACATGATAAGCAGATCAATGGCCAGGGCCATCCAGACAAGAGAAGGAACACTCACCCGGCCTAGGATAGACACTCACCCTAGCAGAGGACTTCACAGGTGATGCTAGTGCTGAGTCTTCAAGGGTAAACAGTCTTCCAGATGAACAAAAGAAGAAAGCATTTCAGACAGAAAGAAATGCATGCTTACAATGTGCAAAGGGCAGAAGGGGCCTGCAGTGCTCAGTGCGTGTTACAGGAGAACATGAGAATGGGGAGAGAAGAGGCTAGAAAAAGTAGGTGAGCAGACCTCTCTTAAGGGCCTTTGTATACAACAGAAGCCATCTGTTTGTTACCCAGGAGGCTCTGAACAGCCACTGGAAGATCTTAGTCGGAGGTGCTGCACGATTAGAATCGTGTGTTCTAAGATCAGTTTGACTGCAGCTTGAGAAATAAACTGGAAGAGGCAGGATGGAAGGCAAAGGAAGGAGGTGTGACACTCCTGCCTAGTCCAGCCCAGACATGCTAAAAGGCTGGATAAAAGGAGCGAGCTGACACTCTAAAGGAGAATATAGATTTAAGAGGCATTTCAGAGGCAAAATCAACAAGACTTGGTGACAGGATGGACAATGGGGTGTAAGAGAGCCATGACTCTTGAGACTCCGGGGTTTCTGGGGATGACCAAATCCTCCCCACAACAAAATGATTGCTCCCTAGCTGTGTTGCCATCTGCCAACTTTCAACCTACAGCAAACTTCATTTTCAAAGCAGAAGCCATGAGTAAACAGAAATAACTTCTAACTAATAAAACAGCAGATCTTAAATTCATCAGGAGCTGACAATGCAGTGACAGTAACCCATCAGTGGAGTGGAAGTATTTACATCATAAAAGGTTTCCCTCCACTCACCACCAAAACCTACAAAGTGTCCAACATAAAATTCAAGACTGAGTAAAGGAAGTCATGATGAAGTCAGATGATATCCTTAGGAAATTCTGTATCCAGACAAATACCAACAAATCAATTAATAGTCCCCAAGTCTCCATGTGCCTGCCAGAGACTGACCAGGTCACAACAGGACATAATGAAATACAGTGTCCACTTCCAGTGATTTTACCTTCCTCTTGCACTCAGTGGGAGCATAGTTCCTCATAAATATTTAACCTAAATTGCAAAGCAGACAGATCAACTTGTCACATGAACACCAGGATGTTAAGTTGAAAATGTTAGGATGACAGCCTCCATTTTCATTAATAGTCTACTATTCACACTTCTATTTGTTTTTAAAGACAGTTTTATATAAGGTATTTTATAATTACAATTTTAATTTTTGACAAGGGAAAAATAGACATAATTTGCTTTACTCTCGTATAAAACACTAATTATTTGGCTGTAATTATCCAGATTTAAGATGCTGAGGAGTCTTCGTAAAGGACTTCATCTACCTTCATGTCATTTTCATTCACCGGGACCTGGAGGCAAATCTGTTCTTTGAAAGCCAGCGCCAGGGTGTAGGGCTTCACTTCCTGATGCTGCAAACAGCGCTTCAGGTAGGCATCATAGTAGCCCTTGCCCCTTCCCAGTCGGTTGCCATGTTTGTCAAACCCAAGGCCTGGCATGAAGATGAGATCCAGTCCCCCTGCAGAAAAGAGGACAAATTTAGAGGATTAACGTTTCTGAAAGATCACTTCAGGATGTGTTCTTTGTTTTGCAATGACATCTATTCTTCCTCTGATTTCTAAAAACAATGTATGACCATTCATATCCAAAAAGCAAAAAAGGAAATAAAACTTACTCAGCAACTCAGTAAGTCTCTTATTCATCCTTCCAACAGATTTTTCACATACATCTGTACAAAAGTGCCAGATTCCCAGACCCCATTCATAATTAGTTAAATAAAGAGAATCTCCAGATAGGGCCTTCTTTTTTCGAGCATCCTGGTGATTCTCCATACCTGTCAGGTTTGGAAATCAATGCCCCAGGATAATGACAGTTGGAGGGCGAGAGAGGATCAAGGAGGAACCAAAAGGACAGAGCTGTTCTCAGGGTCAGTGAGCAGAAAGAGACTGCTGTTAGGTGTACCAAGCAGTTCAGACAGCCTACTCCCTCCTCCTCTCCCTTCCCATTGGAGAGGCGAGGCCAGGCTGCCGGGCTTCCTAAGACTGTGAGAGCAGGCTTTGACCTACTCAGGGACATTCCAAAGGTACAAGATGGGGACCCACATCTAGTCCTCTGGCTAGAACCCTCTCAAGTAACACAAAGACCAGAACTGGCTATGACATTATAAGGACAGAATGCTGGAGCTCAAGGTGGGAGGCAGGGTCCTGGAGGCTACAGGAACCCAACTACAGGAAGGGTGTATGGGGACTCCCAGGAAGACAGCAATAAAGGTCACTAGGTGAAGGACCTCCATGAAGGAATGGTCCTCCAGCCTCTGGCAAGGAGCATGGGGTACCAGTGTCAGCACAAGAGCCACATCACATGTCCAACCCAGTAGTCTGCCCTGTGGCCTCCTTGTACCGAGCCCTGGCCTCCTGACAGCTGTCCTGGGGGTTTCTGGGTGACCTACAGCTTAGTCGTGGACTAATCATCCACATGGCATTGCTGGCAAGATACACCAGGGTTGGAAGTCATGAATTCTCCAGAACATGGTGTTCAGGGTAGAGAAGATCAGATTGCCAGCTCAGCTGGTCTCTGCTATCAGCAGATGTTCTGACTACCTGCAGAACTGTGAGGTGGACTCAGCTTCTCTCTGGCTCCCAGCACACACCTGGTCACCCCCTTCCTGCCAAAATCCAGCAAAGCATGCCTCAGATTACAGTAATGACCTTCCCCTGTAAACCTGCTCGTCTATTCCAATCCCAACTTGCTAAAAAGGTCTTGGTCACTGACCTTTGTCTTTCCTCCCTGTCCCCGTCCAGCCCATTTGTCCCTCTTAGGATTGACAGTGGCCTGTGCATTTGGACTTTAGTCCCTCGTGTCCTCTTTCTGTTGCCAGAGCACCATCAGGCTTGAAGTTCAGTTCTGTCTTCTATACCTAGAACACACACGCACACACCTTTCTAAGGATTCCTGCCTCTTTACAGTATGGCAAGGGCTCTATAAGATCCTCTGGAGGACACACAATCGCTTCCCTTCACAAGGTGGTAGTTCAGTTAATACAAAATATACCCACATGTAATATCCATTTCAATGCACGACAGTAGTCCCTGCCAAATGCCCCAAAAGCAACAGAGACAAATACTAGAGACCTCAGCAGAGGGAGAGCAAACGCTGGGTGGTCAGTGAAGAATTCACAGAAAACTCAACTTGACCTGGATTTTTAAGATGTGTCAGAGTTGGGTCTAAATATCTTTCAGAAACCAAAAGGAGGGTGGCAAGAGCTGAGCGAGGGAGTAGGGCAGTGGGGAGAAGTTTACGTGCTGGTACAGAAGGATCAAACTGAGGAGTAGCAGAAGACATGAGGGTAGAGTTCATTAGGTAAGGGCATGGAGATTTGGGGTCAAAGTCTCAAAGACTTCCTAGAACACAATAGCAAAAAAACAACCCAATTAAAAACTGGGCAAAAGACTTAAACAGACATTTCTCTAAAGAAGACATAAAAATGGCCAACGGGCATATGAAAATATACTCAACATCACTAATCATCAGGGAAACACAAATCAAAACTTCAATGAAATATTACTGCACACTCACGAGGATGTCCAATTTCCAAAACACAGAAAACCACAAATGTTGGCAAGGATGTGGAGAAATTAGAACTCTTGTATGCTGCTGGTAGGGATGTAAAATAGTTCAGCCGTTACAGAAAAGAGTATACGGGTTCCTCAAAAAATTAAAAATAGAACTACCGCATGGCCCAGCAATCCCACTTCTGGGTATTTATCCAAAAGGATTGAAGCCGGGGTCCTGAAGAGATATTTGCACTCCCGTATTCACTGCAGCATTATTCACAACAGCCAAGATGTGGAAACAACCTAAGTATGCATCAATGAATGAATGAACAAACAAAATGTGGTACATACATTCAATGGAATATTATTCAGCCATATCAAAGAAGAAAATTCTGCAATACGCAACACACGGATGAGCCTTGAGGATATTACACCAAGTGAAATGAGTCAGTCACAAAGAGACAAACACCATGTGATGCCACTAACATGAGGATATTATGTCAAGTGAAGTAAGTCCTCACAAAAAGACAAACAGTGTATGATGCCACGTACATGAGGTACCTAGAGTAGTCAAACTCTTAGAAACAGAAAGTAGAATGATGGTTGCCAGGGGCAGGAGAAATGGGGAGACAGGGAGTCACCGTTCAATGGGTACAGTTTCATTTGTACAAGATGAAAAAGTTCCAGAGATCTGCTGCACAACTATGCTTACAGTTAACCATACTTTCCCAGACACTTACAATTTTTAAGACAGTAGATCTCACATTATATGTATTTACCACAGTAAAAAATAAAAAAGGCAGAGGCCAAAAGAGAAGCCAGGAGAATTGTTAGGATTTCCACCAGAGTCAACACACAAGAAAGAAAAGGCAGAATTTTGGAACATCCACATTTAGGCAGCTGCAGGAAAAGAATGAAGAAATGAAACAGAGATAAGAAAACAACATTCTCAAATCCCCTGAGCGAGAGTTAATCTTTCTCCCTCTTTCCTTGTTACTCCTGTACTTTGATCACAGCTCTCACTGAAGTCTACCTTGTGCCACAGTTGATGGTACATGTCTCTTGTCTGCCCCACCAGACAGAAAATTTCTTTGGGGGCCATAATTTTGTACAAGTCATCTTTCATGCTTGGCTTTTAATAGAATTTTAGGCCAAAGAAACCCTGAAAAACGAGTGTTTTGCCACAGAATGGATCAATCCCAGAATGACATCCCCTATTTTAATAATTCCAAAGTACATAAGTTTGGCTCAAAGAGGCAAAAAATAAAATAAAATAATAAAAACACAACTTTGTATGGATGCTTGTTCAAAATGAGTTCTACACTTGTGAAGCAAGAGGAGAATGTTTTTGGATTCCCAGGTAACCAAGTTTCCGAAATGGCCCTTCCCACGTGGAGGTCCTTACATGGTACATGGGGTATTGCTGTTGGAGCCGTGCCCACAGCATTGTTCCTGCTGCTCCCTTCAACCACGGGGATGGCAGCTTGCTCCTGGCCTCAGGTCCTTAAGATACTCTTCCTGGTCTGCTCCCACTTCTGCTACTTGGTGAATCCAAGTGTTTAAAACTTACACATCGTGTACTCTTTGCTTGACTTTATTTATTGCCACCCTTGAAGCTCTTCCTGTGCCTTACCACCATCCCCACAGGCATCGCCCACCCCACACACAACCCGGGGCTCCTCACACTTTGGGAACACTATGCTGGACGCTTTTCTCCCTCAAAGGTGATGGCTCAGTGAGGCTTGAAAATCATGCACAGGTCCAACAAGCTTCCCTCACACACACTGGTCTCTCTAATAGAGGTAGATGCCAGAGCCACCTTCACACACCACAAGGTCAGAATTCAGTAGGGGAGACAGAAGAGCCTGAGTCCATGCACAGTTCCTCATATGCCACTGGCATGACTCTATTTTCAAATCACCAAGGGCTCATTAATAGCGTCCACTGACAGTGCAACGTGCTAGAGCCAACCTGCTCTGATTCTGTTTAATTCTGTATGCACTTGCTTCACAGGCGCCCACTAGCCCAGAATGTGACCAGCAGAGCCAAAGAGCCCTGGCTGCATCAGGATTGCAACATGGTGTTCAGAAAAGAGCTCTCTGGACGTCGTAAGGTTGTTCTGAGGAGTCATGATTTGTTGAGTGTTTTTCTCCAGGCTTCGCTAGCTTTCTAATGTGATCTTGCATTCCAAAACTGCAGAGCTAACCTTTGGAAAACTCACCCAGCCCCGCACACTGCATTTATACACTCAAAAACATCTTCTGTCTTTTCATTTGGTGTTGGCTCTGAAACAGCAGTGCCCCCTGGAGGCAGGCTGGTGTGGTGATTAGGCGATTTCTTCACTGTGTGATCACGGGCAAGCCACTGCAATCTCTGTGCTTCCATTTGTTTTCTCATGTGTAAAATGGAACTGCTCATGAAAACTGTATTAGATAATGCAACGCATCTGTTCATGACAATTCTGTTCATTAGGGTAACTTTCAATTTTTTCTTTTAAAAGAAATCTCAGGTACCATTTCTTCAATCAGGTAGCAGAGAAAGGGGGTATAGTTTCTCCAATACCTCAAGTATTTTTTTGACCAGAGCTTTTACAACTTTACCTTAGAACTGGCTCTTACATGTTCTCTCAGCAACAGGATTCAGCAGAGCCAAAGAGCGGGGGAGAAAACCAGGGGAGAGTGAAGTTATAGAATGCAGATTAGCAAATTTAGGTGTCCCATGAGACACCTAACTCTCAACCTAAGTCTTGCTTCTGGAAGAGAAGAAGAGCACAGAAATAACATTTGTAAAGTGCCTACAATGTGTCAGGCAAGAATGCCACGTCCTGGAAAGAGAAGGATGAATAAAAGCAGCTAGTCAATGCATCTACCTAGGGAGGCAAGAGGGTGGGAACTATTATCCCCATTTCATAGAAGAATAAACTGATGCTCAGAGAGCTCAAATTACTCCCTAAAGTCATTCAACT